AAAAAAATAAAATAGGAAGGGAGATTTTTAATCACCGCAAACGAGATACGTGGTCTGGTAGTTTCACCGTCGCCGAGTCAAAATCGCCGAGTTATGGAGGAATAATGGAGGACCCCAATTTCGAAACACGTTTTGAATGTTCATTTTTACCCAAAATTTTAGGCTAAGTTCTATTGTATTTTTATGCGCTCACAACGGGTCAGTTGCAATGGCTCTGTTGTGATGATCTTGTTTTGATGATTTCAGATTGTAGATCAGGTAGTACTAACGAAATCTGTCAAAAAACCAAGTTTTTTCGTTCAGTATACTAACGGAGCTATTAACCTTTAAAAACATGACGTGTGACGGCAATCACTGTGTTGGTGCCAATTTTGCCAACGTGCGATTGAAATTCAGTTCAAAATATGGCAAACTCACAACTTCTCTAGTCAAAGCTTCATGTGCATTGAACCTCTAGGTATCACTCTTGTTAAAACAGCTAAGTGCAATTCTATGACCAGCACAACTGATCCACCCATAGTTTAATACTCGAGAGATTGTTCCATCGATATTTCAAAATCCGACTGTTAGCCCCAACTCAACAAAATTCGCCTTACCGGCCCGTGGATATCCACACTAGGCCAGTCTCTTTCTTTAAAAGAGCATCCTAGAGGTTTAATGGGAAAGCATTTCCCGCGAGAACCGTCTCACACGAGGCAAGCACAAAAATCAAATGGTAAGACTTGGAGATCGGGTACGAGCATTTGTTTGTCCTGTGTAAAACCTTGTCCTGTCAGCGGCGCACAGTGGATCGAGTCTAATAGAGAGGTCTGACATAAAATTTTTGACTGAAACTGCGAATTTTTATGCTTATCTCTTCACATGTTAAAGCTCAAGGGTCGCAACCAGAAGAAAATTTCACGAGACAACTAATGAGACGACTTTTAGAGACTAAAAGTTTTGAATAAACGGAGTTAAAAGTGTTTAAAGTTTCCAAATTTTGTCCGGCCTCTCCTGTTGACTTGATCCGTTGTGCGGCGTAAAGATGCTGCCGAACCCCGATTGTTTGCGCGGCCAACAAACCGACCACCCCAAGGTCCCATATGCCTCCATCGAAAAATATGTTGACATTGTCCTGTTTATTTTTTATCCACCGACGATGCTCCCTGCGTGAGTTTGTGCCAGGACTTTCCCCTGTTCCCGCAGGAGTTTTCTGTTCTATTCGCTCTAAGACGCTGCCAGTAGCAACCCTCGTAAGTTGGAAATACTGGATTGTGTCCATTGATTTGAATGTGAAAGAATCGATATCAATCGATACCGAATTTTCACCCAGAATCGATCTTTATCATGGGCTTTAAATCGTCGTTTTCGAGATGAAATAACGTGACTTCACTTCAACGATGCAAAATTTCGACTGTCAAATTTTGTTTATACGAGGAACCTGATTGGAGTTTCTTACGGGCAATATCACTGATCTTCTTTTTGGATTTTACGCAAAAATTAGCTAATTTTCGGGCAGAAATCTCACAGTCTTATTTTTGAATAAAATAACGTGTTTTTAATCAATATTGAAATCTTGGAATGGAGTCACATTCCCTCGTCTAAGGAGCGATGAATTTGAGAAGAATCGGTGACAATTTACTTCTTAAACTTAAGCCGCTATCATTTTATATTCTGATCAACCCTTAGATGCTCAAACCGAGTCAAATTAACCCGAGGCTTGCTGAAAACTCGTGGCTTGCGAATTTTTGAGGGCCGGTAAAAGCTTTATATATAGATCTGCAAATATATCATGGGGAAAGAGTCAGGCATCAAATCGAAAAACAAGAAAACAATCAAGTTCACACAGGAAAAGATAGGAGGTACGTATTCTGGCAGTTTTTTAACTTTTCTCGCGAATCTGAGCCACACATTATTGGTAGCATAGAGCTGAGCATTGCGAGTTCACGCCTTGCGCCATTGCGCCTTCAATTTTGCAGAATGCAACACGGACATCCATCTGGCACGAATAGTTGTATCTCTGCGCCGCGCCGTCATCAACGTGCATCCTTTATTCCGTTGAATCCTTTCCTCCATATCCATGTTATGTTAGTTCCGTTAGTCTTTTTTTATAGTAGTGTCTCAAGGGCCATGTGAGCAACGCAGCTGAAGATAGGAATAATGTAATCTGGCCTCGTTTTTTAACTTTTCTCCCGAATCTGAGCGACACCTGCCAGAGGTGCAAGAAGTGCCAATCGGCTGAGCGTTCCACGCGATTCGAAGTTCCCTACATCCTAAGTTCCGAAAAATTTCTTCACTTTTCCCCTTCTCTTTTTTTTCGTATAATATGCTGCCGTGATAGCGAAGAGAGCAGTAAGTGCAAAAATGAAGTTTTGAGAAAACGGGCTCAGAAGCCCCTGACCGGAAAATTTTATTAAAAGAAGCCTCCTCTCTTTGTCGAATTGCCACTAATCGTCCAGAAGAATCCTAGAAATCGTTTGAATGATTAAAAATCGACTGATTCAAGACAGCCGTAAGTGCTATCTCCTGCATGCTTTCGGTGCTGCGTTTTGGACACACAAGAAACACATTTTCAGGATAGAATTTCGCAGAGGAGGGCGGCTTTTTACTTGAAAGCACTGTTTTCATTGGCTGGAGGAATATTGTCACTAACTGCTGTTTTGCCGAAAACTACGTCATTTTTTGCGCACTTGCGACTTCCTCATATGTCTCGTTTTGATACAATTAAAATTAATTTGCTGTTTTAGCTAAATCAGTGATTTCATCTAAAAGAGTTTAAACGAATTTTGAATGAAACTCGATTTCCAAAATTTGTCATTTACCGCTCTCTTCGCTGTCACGGCAATATGTTAGGTGTCCTAAAGTATCGCAAATAAATATTTTTCTGAAACTCGCATTGTAGATACAGCTACACTGAAAAAAAAAAAAGTATCGCAATCTCAACTACATTTTCAGCTGATTTTGGCGCCAGCCATAAGAGTTGTTGCACTAGCCAGAAGTGTAAAGGCACCAACCAGCGGTATAGTTAATCCAACCACACCAATGGTAACTGTGAGGGTACCAGCTAGAGGTATGGTTGGTTCAACCACACTTTCAGCTGACTTAACCATTCATCTGGCTTTTGCAACTACTCCAATAGCTGGCGCCAAAATCAGCAAGGAGTATAGTTGGGCTTGTAATACCTTTTTTCCGTGTAGTGTGCCCACCCAGTGGTATGCATTTAAGAGGTTATCGATATTTTACACTGATTTTCAGGGCGCTCACTCCCCCCCCCGCCCCCACCCGATGGAAGTAGAAAGTAGATAGACTTTCCTCCCGCTGATGAATTGACGCGCGGCGGAACACCGGGAGTGGCAAGCGACGGGCGACGAGCAAAAGGGGTTAAATTTCTCACGCATGGGATCCTCGCTTCCTTTTCTTTGGCTCAGTGAGTCTGGTCTTGATAATATCCTTTTGCACTCAGTTTTCCACTGTCACGCTGGGCTGAATCATGGCGAGCATTTTTCCCCTCTCGCGCCCGAGCTGCTCCTTTATCAAACTGCCACTCTCCCCCCCCCCT